TTCCAGGTCGTCTAGCTGTTTTTCTTCGTTCGATTCATCTAATAAACTTGATGTATATTTGCCAGCCATTCTGACTTTTCGCCGTCAGAAATAGGATTCAAGTTGTCCGCCATTTTTTTTTCGTAACTACAATTTAATTCTTCGCTTGCGCGATGCGAGAAAACCTGTTTAACCGGCACTCTACGGTACAAATACCGCGGGATATTTGTACTCGTCTATGGAGTTATTTGTACTCTACGAAGTGTAGTTGGATAATAAAGGCGAGTATTCGAAGACACCAAATTTTCAAACTAACATTATAACCTATGCGCTTTAACTTTGACCTCAGACTGCTAACATACTTTGAAAATCATAAAAATAATGATAATAAATAAATGCTTTTCCCTGTTTTCCTTGTCACGCCACTCACCTCGCTCTGGGTTGAAAATCCAAAACAAAACGTACTCTGGGATTGATCCACGTTTAGCGCACGCGTCACGCAATCTGGTTGCACTTTCGCTGCCACACCCTCGCGACTCCGGTCTTAATCGATTGTACATACTTACCACCGTGTCATTCACACCGTCGAGACCAAGGATGGAATCCTGGATTAAATCTGTTCAGATTATTTTCCCTTTCATTTTATCTGCGTTTGGCAGTGAAGGTATTGTGCGAAAGTTCGATTACTTTCAGGCGCTTTCTGGCAACACAAATCATTCCTATTCATGTATTGTGATAAAGTTCCACTACTTTCTGGCGCTTTCTAGCTACGTAAATAATTTGTACTCATAATTAATTTTAAGAATGTCTTAATTAGTACTTGTAGTTCAAAGGACGTAAGTGCGGGCTGCTTTGTCAGATGAAAATTACTTGACGATCGATGTTTTGGACACCTTCCAAAGAACAGAGGATTTATTGATTCTTCATTCTATCAGAGAGCGACCGCGTGGTACAGTTGATTTACTAACTAATGCCGAGTAACATGATTTAACAGACATTATGAATCTTGATTCCTGCCTCCCTAGTGATAAGAATTTTGAATCTCAAGACAACTCAGATTTGAGGTTGATCGAGTCATTCTCAAAGGAACTCAGAGATTTCTTGGGGAGAGATTTTCAACAGAAAGTTAAAGTGTAAACAGACATCGGATATTCCTAGGAAGTTTAAAAAAACTTTTAGGTGGAAATTCTGCGAAAAGTTGTGACTGCCGCGCATTAAGTCTATGTGAGACCGTGTCCGGCTGCCGGGTACCTAGTCACCCTTATCTCCAAAGCAAAGAAGCGATTAGACCTTAAGGGTAAAAGGGTCGATACTGACTGGTATCAACAGAAGGATCGAGTTCCTAATTCTGCAATTTTTTAACACGTTATTCAGAACTGGGAGTATCTGTAACATGCGGCAGCCAAGAAATACAAGTTTCATTTGACAAGGGAAGTTTCCCGTCGTTAGATGCCAGTCATCTGCACTTGTTGGACCCTTCATGCAAAGCCACCGAAACCGAGTCGCATGTTTTTATTAGCACATCCTTGAATGGCTGTGGCACAACGCTCCTTGAAACAGAAGAGGATTTTGTCTTTTCAAACATCGTCTACGACTAGGCTGAGCCGATTGACAGTGTGATTACTCGGGAACATGACTTTGAACTTCCATTTAAATGCAACTATTCTAGGAAAGATATTCCAAACCTGGATGTTCTTCCGAGGAGACGCTCACTACCACCCTTAGGTACGTACAAATGCTCTTGGGTTGACACATGATGAGTCACAATATCAAACCTCTGAATACAAGCAACAATGTGACAATACTTTGGAACATAGCATGCAATGAAATGAAAAATTGCTCCTTCTGAAGTTCTTTTCGACAGAATTAGACAAATTAAATATTATCATTCCTCTAAATAACTATTTTTGTGATGTCAATATTGTTTTTTACATAATTTTTAATTTTCTGAGGATCACATTCAAATATTTTAAGACAGTGAAATTTTGCTACCTTCAATAAGCTGTATTAATTACCAAGTTCTCTAATCAATAGTTATCAATTATTTTATCAGTGCATGTATTTGAGGCTTCTTTAAAGCAATTCAAACTGTTGTCGGTCACATGACCTGAGGAGGTAATGACACGTGGAGCAACGAGCGAGGGATATCAATTGAATTCGTTTGTTGTTAGTTATCTTATAAGTGATTAAAGAGACGTAGTTACGGACAGAATACAACTCAAACTTTACTTAATTACTGTGAGCATTCCATTGCAACTGTTCATCATCATCATCATCATCATCATCACTTGTTTGCCTTTTCAGCAATACCAAAACTTAACAGTTATAGTTATAGGGAGAGAGGAGACCTCAAGATAATTACATTGGATGGATAGCATGGGCCACAACCATAGAAGTTTAATTAAAAGATCATTCCCATTTCATTTACTCATTCATGACTATCATTTCTCTAAATAAATGTCAATTTTCAGAAAGACAAGGTAACCTCACCTTTAGGTTCGAAATTTACAGAAGCTCTGCATATGCTTCACCTCACACCTCCTACCCTGTGCAAGTGACTCTCAATGAAGACATGTATCTGAGGTACAGTGTGGAGTCCAGTGCTGACCTGGTGGTAATGGCACTTAACTGTAAGGCTACCAATGGTTCTCGTTTTTATTCAGGGCCAGAATACAGCATTATTCAGGACGGGTGAGTAAAATTCAACCTTGCATGGTTTTATACATCCAAATATCAAACTAGGAACATTGTGTGGGATATTACAGGCTGGGCACTTATACAATAGTGACTGTCTTGTATTATTTTGTGTCTAAAGAAGTACCACTACTTAACCCTTCAATTCCCATGAGTGACCAAGACAGAATTTCTCCTTATAATGTGAAGTGAATACAATATCAAGCCAACCATTGATGGGAATATAAATTCAACAGCCAAGGGATTATTAGTTGATCCAATACCAAATTTGTGGAGCATCATAAAAAATTGTTCAGTAGATAGTAAGGAGATTTATTGATGAGATCTAAGACAAATTAAATAGCTCAGAGTGTGTTGATACCTTCCCATTTTTAGAGCTTACCTATTATGATTGTTCTTTCTGAATTAAATAGTAACAAGAAATGGAAAACAAACAGAACCAGGTATCAGGGAGGGGGAGGGTTTCTGAAAAATATATCTCTTGCAGCACAATGAGGGTTCTAAAATATTTTAAAATCTAATCAAGGAAAGCATAGAAACTTTGACCTAATCAATTCATTTCTCTACTCTCAGGGCCAGCCCTACCCCACACTGAAATAGCCCCCCTGTGACTTATCACTTCAAATCATGTCTTGATAAAAAGCTTAAAGAGCTAATGATTGATAGCACAACAAGGCTTACTTCATAGGTATGCTAATAAAGCCTTAATAATTAACTGCTAATGAAGTTCAAGGTGTGGCAAAATATATGGTCACCGGTTCATTTCTCATCTCATCATCCTCACTTCTTGCATTAATTTTATTTTAATTATTTCAGTTGTCCAATGGATAAAACTCTTGAACAGAGCTATGACCCTTACAGCAGTAGCCAGACATTTCGACTGAGAGCGTTTAGGTTCCTCAATGATTATGATTCCTTTTACTTGCACTGTGAGTTGCTGGCTTGTGACAGAGATTCCGAGAAATCCAGGTAAGTTCTTAATACTGGGATTATTACTACGTTTGCTGAGAAGATCATCCTTTGACCAGAGAGTTAATTGGATTGCATGGCTAAGTTGTAATACACTCAATAAATTTGTTTTTACTTTATTTTTCATTTTATTTACTTTGTTTTCTAAGTTTGCTTTTATTGTTGAGTTTTTTTCTTTGAACTACTAAATTTCTTTTATTTGAAGGTGTCGCCAGGGATGCTCACCACCAGAAATATGGATGAAAAGGCAACTGAAAAGTGTTGTAGACACAACTGGCCCCTAGACCTTTAAAAGAGGGCCAATAATTTTCCAAGAAGAGACTCAAAATGAAGGTGGAGGTAAATGACTACAGGAAATAAGTCATACAAGTCATGTGCTCCTAGTGGCTTTTCCCATTGGAAGTTAGTGCAAGCACTGATAAGAAGAAAAAAAGAGAAAAAAAGAAAAAGAAAGGAGCATTAATTTAGCCTTCTATCTCCATCCAAAGGCCAATAAGCATAATTTACACCTCATTGAAGTACGGGGTGTCATAATCTCCCACTTATTTTGTTAAGATTACAAGACAAATTAGCATAAAGTTAATTGACTTTTGTATTAAGTGATAATAATGATAATCATATTTTCTTTACCTTAGCACGATAAAGATTTAAGCTTTGCAGCTTATGGAGTTGTGTACAAAATAGATAAATGAATAGATAGTTGCTTAGATAATAATTGTAAAGTACGACTTAAAATCTACCAAAGAAAAACCAGATATAGCAATAAGCCACCTCAAGCCTCCGAAATAGAATCTCAAATCATTCTTGAAAGTCCAAGCAAATTTTTAGATCAAATCTCAAGGTTAACATTTTATTTGCATTCATAGATCTTTTAAAACATTCCGCAACTGCTATGGGAAGCACACCTTTTGCTAATGGATTCGCTACAGCTGCAATGTTAGTTGTTGCTGTTCTATCTGTGATTTACTGCATTTCAAGATCCTTGTTGTCCACAAACAAGACATGCAACTTAATGAGCAGAAAAAAGGATCAAATGAGCAGAAGATATGCCAGGCCTGAAGTCCAGTTATTCACCAGTGGAGGGTTGCACCAGAATGTCATGACTCCACGGAATGGCAGACAGAAGTTTACAGTCCAGTCTGAGGGCATCTACCCCTTTGCCATGTAGCAAAATTAAGTCACTCTAGTTGGCTGAATACTTTTGAATTCAAAAAAACGTTTGGAAAAAAGAAACCTCAAGTGACACTTCTGAGTACATTTAGAGTCACAACATAATGGGGGACTAAGATCACATTTTTCTGGAGTCTGTAGTGCAATGAACATTTTCTTCCACAACATAAAGTGTGGCTCCATGGTGTAAACCAGGCATTAGTGAACTAAATATACTGTATTATGTTTTCATGAGGCATTGTGGATGTAACTTTTTAGCTAACAGTTCCTAAGTTTTGAATCTTTAAAAAACCTTATGGCAGGTTCTTATAAGGCACAAATTGCAGGAATGGTGTGAAAGTATCCCTTCTGTAAGAGTGTGTAAAGGTCTGCATGCATGTTTCTAGCTGGATGCCTTTTTCCTTTAGATTCAAATGATCTTCCATATCCTTATAAGATTTTCAAGGAGGTTGATGTGTCTATTATCAATACGCCCGTGTTGTCACACAGAGATACCAGTAGTGTAGTCATTAATGGTCAGCAGTAACTTGATTATACAGCAGTAAAAAATGTTGATTAACATACATGTAAGAGGCAAGTTGATAAAAGTTAATGGCTTCATTATTTTACTATTTTCCTTAAAAAGTACTTAATTGCACATGGTGCAAACTTTTTTACTCGCAATGTGAGATACAAAATGCACTGTTAAATGCCACTACATACCCTAGTAAAATGCAAAACTACAGTGTCCTATCATGTGCTATAAATGATTAACATACAAATCTCAACAATAACTTTACATATATACTGTATTAAGCAGGGAGTGGCAAGGTGACCACCAACAGAGGTTGACAGGTTAGTAAAGGTTCCATGGTAAAGAGGTATAATTATAAAAGTCAATAAAGAAATGTCATTTTCTGCCATCATTGACCACTTAATGTACAAAAACTTACTTAACTACCATTATGCTATACAAATGCAAAACAAACAGTTGTATCACGAGCTGCAATTAAAACTTAAAACTCAAAAGTAACTTAATAGCTTTCCTAATAAGGATTAAGGCAAACAACTAGTAGTTCCAGATACAGAAGATTGATGTGCACAACCAGTAAGTCTATTTTATAAAAAGTATCAGATACTTCTTGACATGTGCTGTTCATAGTTTTAGGTAAAATTTTTCTTCAACTTTTTAACTTTTTTTTTTTTTATTGTTATTAACTTTATCAAATTTTTTTTATTTTATTTTTTTTAATATTTTTTTCGGTTGGCATTTTATTATTTTTTATTTTGCAAGTACTCAATTTGAATGCAGTTAGGCCTGTTCCTTTGTTTGGAAGTTCCCATTACTTTCATGCCTTAACAGAAAAACACACAATTGTATCACATTTTCATGGTATTTGTTCCCATTGCTAATTACTAGGCTAGCACAAGCAAATTTGTTTCCGAACTTCTTAGCTATGTCCTTTTGAAAACCTCTTATGGAACACCACAAAGTATTTGTAACTCAATTAACTTTGAGTTACAAAATATTTGTAACTCAAAGTTTCTTTCAGTATCATACTGGGTTTTAAAATCAAGATGCAAAATGTATACCTAGTGTATGCTACATACATTTGTCTGGGGGCCCTGGATGACAAAAGAACATTATGCAAGATTTTGTTTGGTTGTGCATGAATGAGAACAAACAGAAGGATAAGCAACAAAGATTCAATCTGTACTATTTTGATTTTGGTAAAATTCAGCAATGGTTCTGCAAATGTCATGCCGTTTAAGGGAATGAATAAATTGAACAAATTCCTTAAGAGATAAAACTCTCTCCACTGCAGATAAATAACTTAGCAGTTGTGTTGTAGGGCTTCCTGCCTCTCGCTCTTCCTCTCTCTTAATTTTATAAAGCTCTGATTCTGGAATTTCAATCCTTCGAGCCACATCCCACCAGTTTTTTATAGGAGGCTTTTTTCCATCCAACATTTCGATAAGTTTGTCTCCAACTTGATATGGCAGTTTATCAAGTTTAATGTCTGAAAAAAAGGGCCACAAGCTAACATTAAGAAACTGCCAAATATATGGAGTTCTAAAGCCTTTTCATTTTAGATGATGAAAATTACAATAATAGTAATGATAAGTATTGTAAGAAATAGACAACTTTTTTAAAAGACATGTTTTGGCATGCCTATGCCATCTTCAATCAATGAGTAACAGAACATGAGTAATTATATAACAGACAAGTAGATGAATAAAATATTTACAGTATGATGTAATACAAAAGTGGGTACTAATTACAAAGTGACGCCAAACATCAAAGGTGTGAGCTAAAACACTACAAAAGTGTTATAATGCTGTAATTGTTTGTTAAGTTCAGGGTTGATCTTATTTATATGAAAAGCTTCTTTGAGTGTTAAATCGATTGAGTTGTTAGCAGAATCCAGAATACTAAAGCAAGAAAGGGAGTATTGGTTCTTACAAGAAGGAGATGTGTTGAAATGCTTCAAAATATGTGAGTTTTTATCACTTTCTGTGTGCCCCTTTATCCTATTAGAGAAGTGGCAACTAGTTTCGCCAATATTATGGGAACTACATCCCGCACAAGAAAATTGTGCAGGAAAAGTGGCAAATTAAAGGAGACGTGTAGGAACTTGAGGGGGGGTGTTTGTTTGATATTAGAAGGCCTGAAGGGGTGGGTGCCTATTCAGGGGAGAGTGCTTAGTAAAGTGTCAGTGCATATTCAAGGAAATACAGATATGTGCACTAATTAAAGTCTACAATTATTTATACATTTAATAATTAATACACATGAAAGAATTTCTCGGTTTTGATTGGTTAAGATGAATGCAGTTTTCAGGTAATTCAGTGCAAAAGAGCGTTAATTCAGTGCAGAAGAGGGTTAAATCAGTGCAAAGAAAGTAACAAACCAGACATTCTGATCGATTGGCCAGAACGATTGGTCAATGTCAAGGTCAATGTCACTTGAAGGGTTTGAATAAAGAAGAGCAAGCTACCTCGTATTTTTTCATGTATTTTATTAATACATAAACTCATGATTTTCTCATGCAATTTGGAATTAAAAAGCACTTGTAAATATTTTCAAAGACCACAAATTGCACTCGCCCTACGGGCTCATGCAATTTTGTTAGTCTTTGAAAAAATTTACTCATGCTTATTTATTCCAAATTGCACTCGAAATCATGTGATTACCTATACGTATACTTCCATTAACTTTCATCACTAACCTTCTGGTATGACATTAAGCTTGCAGGAGTTGCAGCCTGGTAGGAAAGGTCTCATCTCTATAGAAATGTAATAATCATTAATGTAATTAGGAAAAAACAACAGCAAAAAGTTACTGTATGTATGTATACTTAGGTAACTGACCACTCTTACAAAGGGGCTTTCTAAGGCCAATATTTTATGAATAAATGAGTGGATGAATAAACACAGTAACGAAACATCCCAAATGCCAGGAGGTGGGCTTGTTGGCTGTATACAAAAGCACACCTAAGGACTAAGGGCAACCAGGAACAAATCCAGGGAGCAGTAGAGTGGAGGGCTTAAATACAACTGGCTCCACTGCTTCCACCACAATGATAGAGTGATGTAATGATAGCATTATGAAAATAAGCTAGCAACTTTAACAAAGTTAGTACAGAAAGTGTACAATCGCACATTTACCTGCTGAAGCTGAAGAACTGCAGGTAGGTATAAGAATCCTCAAACCACAGTGCCCAAAACTGGTTGATGGAAGAGATTCCTCACTGTGTGATGACTGCTTAGTTCTCTTCCAAGCTAGCCAGCCAAAGAATATAATAACTACTATACACAGTCCCAGAAGACATGACAGTGCAATGTGTAAGCCATCAAATGAGTGACTACCACACTGCTTTGAGGAAGAAGACAATTTTTGGTTTGGAAGTTCCTTTCCTGTTACACTGATATTGTTGGATAATGAATGATTAATGTGCATGTTACTGCCACTCAGTAAAGAGCAATTAGATGGCATTGTACAGTTGCAGTCACATCCGCTTGATGTAAGATTTTTCTTTGGCAGATCATTATTGCATGGTTTTGATGATTGCCTGCAATGATTCTGGCCTTTCCCCCAATCACTGCACCCAATTTGATTGTTATACACTGTGGTTCAATGTTTATGTCGTCACCTTCACAACATTCAGTACATCTAAGGCATTCATTGTCTGTGCTATTAAAATAATAATCATTTGAAATGCACCTATTACTGCATACTCTGTCCTTCCCAGATAAGCAGGGACTATGTTCTAGTTTTTTACCGCAAGAAGTACACTTGCGGCACCTCACATTTGTCTCCTTGTTGGAGTAGAAATTCTGCTGACAGCTTTGGCAGGTCACTTCTGTCCCAGATGGGTGTGTTGAGCCAGGTTCCACTGATGGCTCTTGACCATCATGGCATTCAGGAAAAGGCCAACATGTATACTTAGCAGGGTTTTGCTCTTGATAAAGCTCAATTTCACCTTTGTTTCCACATCTATTTCCATATCCCTGGGCTACTAAGACAGTCTGCAACAAACAACATTTCGTAAGTGCAGTGTAAAAAAAGTTCACTGATTTATAGTACTTAACTCAGATTATTGCAAGGTATAACGATAATGGAAAAATGTTCTATCAGAGTACTGTTTCCTATTTTATGGCTATTTTTGCAATGTATCTGAATCAGTCTTCAAATTGTGGTATTTTTAAACAACAGTGATCATATCTGATTTTATTTTGTTACTCACAACAATGCCTCGGGTTTACTCTACCATATAACTTTAACTGAGATTATTAGCTAGCTAAAAGAACCTATCCTAGGCTTTGAGAAGTAAAAAAAATTTTTAAACCAAGTAAAACATCTGTTAAAGCCATGATTTTTCTAGCTAACGATAGCCCCTGCCCCTCAAAAGTCAAGAAATTATTTAAAAAGTAAAAATACATGTACATGTACTACCAGGTATCTATAGTAACTACTTTGGGAAGGCGTGAAACTTAATGAGGTCTTTTCTTTGACTTTATATAATATAGTATAACTCAGTCCACCTTTCATTTCATATTCTAAGGGGAACACAATTTATCGGCCCATTGCCTCCACACTGCACCCTGCTAGTTGTTGACTGACATTTGGCTGACAAATGATTAATTTTTACGGTCTGTTTAATCATGCTAGTTATTTCTTTACCCTCCCTTCCCCACAAGGGCTTAAATTTACTTAAGGCTTCGTGGGTGAGGATGGTGTGTCTGGGGATAATTGTTTTGTGAAACATTTCAACAAATAAACCAATTCTGTGTAAATTATGTTAATGTAATCTATAAAAGAGTCCACAAGATCGAAAAATTAAACATTTAAGACCATTAAATATTCAGCTGACTACATCGAGACATTCCATTCATTATTGAGGATTCCTACTGCTAACAATCCTAAAACCAGACATCACGTATCCCTCGGTAACTGCATTTATATGCAGTAAATTAGGTTAAATTACACAAGTTCTGGACCAAATGGTTGCTAGCAACGTTTAATCGGCAGCAAAAAGACACGACAGCATTCTGAATGAATGAGTCTCGCAGTAAACGTGACCAAACGTCGCCATGATTTCGGAATAATCGTGAATTAAGATTTGAGGAAATTTTAAGTTCGCCATGCGAAGCTTTTCGTAATTAAGGTTGATGAAAATAATAACGAGGGGTTTTACAAGTTTATCGGTTAATACAAAGTATTCAAAACAAGTGTTCAACTCACCGCAGTGATCAGAAGTACCGCGAGAATTTTTTCTTCAACTTGAGCAAAGTCTTTCATCCTGAGAAGATATTAAAATGCTGCACTCTTTCCAGATTAATGAACAAAAAATTCTGTTTGCAGGTATCGATGAAGCTCTAAACATTTAAAGGGTGTGGTGAAATACAGTAGAAAGTTTCAATAACCAAAAAAAACCCTGCCAAAGTCATTGATGCGATAGAATATCCCTGAGCACGCAAAACTTGAAAAGTTAGATTCACATGGCAAGAGGTTGTCATAACCTCTTAGCGAATATACCGCTGACAAGAAGCTAAAATGACCATGGGCTTGGTCAAACCAAGGCGAGGGGTTTTTGTGTGACGCGTGATGGCCCCAAAACTTTCAGCGTGACGCGCGATTGAACTCAAATTATTCGCGTGACGGGGGACCGGACATCACAACCTGATGCCTGATTTGGATTTGCTATTTTACGAGCGGGTGACGCGTAATTTACATGTCTTGGTAATTAGATTTCCGTTATAAGTGAACGCTGTTTGATCTAGAAGGTAGTCTGAATGTCAGCCGTCCTCTCCCCCTAACCCCTGGGAGATATTGCGCTACGAAACCCTAGTGAACGCTCTCGGAGCGTTTAGTTTCATCGTGTTGGTCGTGTCTATACATCTAACAAAAAGAAGTATGACAAGTGAAACGCAATTTATTCCAGAATAAAAAATCGTTGGATACAATCTAATTTTATATAATACATCCGATAGGTTTAAATCTTACAGTATTAACTTAACGTACTTTACTCCTTTTACGTGGCGTGTGATTAGCTAAAAAAGATTCTCCGTTATGCGTAATTTATTAGAAAACTTCAGCGTGGTGTGTGTTTGGTACCCCCACCCCTTCCCCTTTGCCACCCTCTAAGGTAGTATCGAAGCCGCTGACAAAAGAGGATCCTCTCTTGCTGCTACTGATCATTTCATCAATACCTGAACACCTCTCTAGCTACATAATAGCCCATTTCCGAATTACCCTTGGCCTCATTTTCAAAAGGAGTCTTGGTGCTCATCCTTTCATATGATTATAAGTTTTCATTCACATGCAAATTAAACTCATTTTCACAAGAATGGTTGAGCACCAGGCCTCGTTTTGAAAAAGAGGCCAAAAGTAATTCGGAAATTGCTTAATTTTTACCAATCCTAAGAGTCATAAATTAGAGGGGGGGGTGGGCTATGAAAAATTGGGGGTGGGTCACTAGTTTTTAACACGTTAAAAAGGGTGGGTCAGGGGAAAAATGCACTGCATTAGGGGTGGGTCGTGTTAAATTATTCACATATCACCACAAACGTTAGTAGAATCTGTTTTTTAATAATATATGTAATTTTCCACCTTAATCCAACTTTAATAACAACAGGAATTCACATATTATATATTTTGTTTCCATTTACGTACAGTCTTAAATATACAGAGTAGTCAGGAAACGTTTTAAAGTATAAAATCTCGAACACTAATTAGCTTTACTGCGTGTGTTCAGAAACCTTCACTTTATACATCATTTCAAACATCTTTTTACACAGCTTCTCCTATAAGTCATCTTTTAATAGTCATCTTCACCACTACCTTCACCCTCAGAAGTATTATCATCCTCCTCCTCCTTCTCATTATCATCATCATCATCATCACTATCATCTATAGCACCCAATACAACTTGGGACACATTTGCTTTGATTGTTTCAATGGCATCCACTGTAAATTGATCTTTACTTATTAATAGTTTTCGCCAGCGACCATCTCTCTTTTTTTAAGCTGTTAAGGCCTATCACACTACAATGATTAGAGGTTATCACATCACCATAAGATAACGAGTGACTGATTGCGGAGAACACTCTCTAACAATTTTTCTCTGCTCTTTCACAGCGTCGCTTCCTGTCTTTTACTTTAATTTCTTTCACTCTTCTCTTCTTTGAGACGAATGTTTCTTTTGCAAAAGAATACATCCTTTGTGCTTTTCTTTTTGGGCCTCTGCTCTAGTCAAAGTCTGATCAATGTTACTCTGCAATTCGGCAATCCTTCCCAAACATTTTCCATTAAATCGTTGCCCACACTCTTTTTGTCCACTGATAATTTTCCCAAAGTATTCAGTGAACCGCTAGGCTTTTGGATGCTACTCTTAAGCTTCTCAGATTTCTCCTTCAAATCCTGAAGTTTTTAATATTGTAATTAATTGCTTGGCGGCTGGTAGGCTTTAGTGATTCCTTTTCTGAATCGATCCCTTTTTGGAATTGCTGCTTGCAATTACATAGCTGACAGCTGGCAGTGAAGGTCGTACTGGCGTCTGCCTTCAGAATGGAATTTTTTCACAAAATCTCGTGCATTTCTTGACCACTTCCATTGGCATTCATAAAAAAAGGGTTGGACATCCTCATTAAGAAATTTAGCTCGTGCTGATTGGGGATTTGGCATAAAGCCAAACTTCTTTTCTTTCCAAGGTGTTGTAGAGGGTTTCTTTACTGAACCTGACAATTTGAAGCCACTCGCACTTGAAGGGCTGGCCAGGTTTCCTTTTAACTTCAATCTAGATGTAGTTCCCGATGTAGTTCTCCAAGAAGTTGGAAGTTCCGGCGAAGAAGAGGAAGATGATGATGACGATGAACATGAAGTGAATGATGACATAGAAGATGAATTCTGTTCAAGAGTGGGACGACGTGTTACAACATTTCGATCTCGAAGACTTTTTGGAGATTCTGACTAAAGTGGTAAGCCAATGTTCCCCATGTAGCTATCCACATTTATTTACTGATTTTAGTTGAGGGGTGGGTCACTAGGTTTTTCTGTGTCACTCCAGGGATGGGCCACTCTAATTTTGTCAAATAACTCGAAGATGGGCAACTGAAAACCTGTACTTTAAAAAGACATTTCATAGCCCCCCCCCCCTTTACTTTCTGACCGGTCCCCAAAAGCAATGGAGCTGTAACCTTTGCAGGGTTCTGGATCAGAGTGGGAAAGGAATTTCCTTCCCAGATTCCCATCGTTTTTCTCTCCTACCTTTTAAACACGTACAATTTTTCAAGAAATAGAGCCTAAAACTCTTATCTAACACATGACGGAGTTACACAAAACGAGCAATGCATCAACCATTCAACCCCTGAGAGAGATATGCATCTAATTTCTCCCAACAATATCACCCCTTCATCAAAAAACATCATAAGAATAAAGAGAATGATTGCAAACTCAAGCTCTCGATTGTTAGCAAATTTCTCCTTATTAGTACTGAAGACATGCTTAGAGGACACATGGAGAACTTGCATACTTTTGTTATGGATCCTTCCCAGCCTCCTCTCCTCTGCACATGAGAATTGTCCGAAATGATCATCATCTGGGCTTACTTATAACATAAGCCCATGAACTATTTGGGAACATAAAACTGTCCAAATTATATTTGACTGCGCCAAGAAATCGATTTTCTATGGGAAATGGTCTGTGTTTTTTTTCCCAAATACAGTTTTCTAGTATAATTGTTAAAAGCATTATTTAGCTCTCCTATTCCCTGTTTAGGGTTTTGAGTAATCAGGAAAATTGATCATAGGTCTGTATTCACTAAGACTTTCACAAAGAAAGTAGGTTAAGATTGTCCATAGAAAACAAACTAAGAAAATCAAGTCAGCCAACACATTTTTAGCGACCTTTACTTTCACTCTGTTCTCTAAAAAATTATTATATTACAAACACAACTGAGCACATAGTGCCAACACTATAACTCTCAATATGAGATACACAGAGACAAACTCACATTCTAAAATAGTTGCATCATAAGACACTGGAGGGTATAAAGCCTTATGTAAAATGCTGACACTACCAGAAACTACTTTCATGTCTACTATAGCTAACTAAAAAACAGAGAGCCTTATGTACATTGTATAAAAATACAAAAGCAAATGAGCATTTACATAACACAGGTTACACAGGTGTGCAATAGGCAACATTTGAAATTCTAAAACTTAAAAGACATTTGAAAGTCCTAGGGAATATACGAAACTCCCAGCAAGGTGGGGACTACACTTAGAGCCTGTAAAAAATATTCACTCAATATTTAAAGGCTACCCTTTTAACCAAAAGACAACTATCCCACCATATACTTACTGGTGCAGATATCTGGACATTATGCCATTTACGTTTCAAGTAATTGTACTGATTCTATAATTTTCTCCTCAAATCAAGACCTTTTAACTTCCTGCATATCCCTTGCAGTAAATTAATACCCTTTGAATGTCCAGGAGAAATACCATCTTCTTAAATGGTATTGTTTTAATTCTTCTTTGTTTTGTCTTGTTTGATTTTGTTTCGTTTGCTAATTTTTTTTGTTTTTTGCTTACCTTTCATTACTATAATTTTTTTAATTCTTTTTTTTTCTTGACATTATTACCAAAAAATACTTCACATACCTCATTAAAGGAAACTAACAATACACTTTAACAACACGATTTTAAAAAATTCACGTTAATTTAATTAGTGTATTTTTAAATTAATCAATGTTGATGTAAATTTGATGCACACTATTTTACAACATTGTTATTTAAAGCACCTTTAGTTCCTAAAAGCTAACTACTGTAAATGCTTCTTTTTCTCCATTAGACGTGTATGTTGAGATTTTGTAAGAACAGGAAGTTTGTGTATCTGCAACAAACTGCGCTTTGGTTTGCCATCAATCAAATGAGTGAGCAGCTCTTGGGATATCATGGAGGCTTTGACAGATCTTTTGAATTGATAGGGTCTAGATAAGCTTCAAAACCAAATTTTCGGCTTTAACAAAAACTTAGAAACATCTGTGGACTTGTCTTGGAAGGTTTTATTGACAGAGGCCAAAACGCAGTTTGGCATTCAGAAATGTAAAGTGCGAGTTTGCAAAATTATGAAAATTGCAGTAAATAAATATATTGTATTAACCAAGCGCGAGGGCCGTACTGGGAGAATATCGGCCCAAGGTCTTGACAGTACGGACCGAGCGCAGCGAGGTCTGTACAAAAAAGACCGAGGGCCGATATTCTTCCAGTACGGTCCCGAGCAAGCTTAGTTAATAAGAGATTTATTACACGACTGAAGTTCAAAGGAACACAAGTGCGGTATCATTTGGGACCATTCGGGACCATTCGCCCGGTCCAATACTGAGAGAATATTGACCAGCAATAGAGCCTTTTGATTGGTTGATTTTAGTTATTGGCCCTCTGACTTCTCGAGTTGTGTAATAAAGCAAGATATTGTTTATCAAAAAATTGGCGTTAATTTAATGCATGTAAACCTAACTTTTGAAAAATTCGCGTTAATTTACTGTAACGTAAATTTTCTTTGCGTTGTCATCGTGCATTGTTAATTTCCTATTAAGGTACAGACGGTGTATGCCACTTCATAATACAACTCACTAAACTAACCCACCAAATTACTAATATTAGCATATTTTGCAACATAAAAAAAATTAAATAAATCTTAAAGAACGATAAGTTATGCTCTAATTCATCAATACTACTTTACACAGGTCTGTTCAGTGCTTATGTCACAAAAGTTAAAGAGAGGCTTAAAAGGGAGCAAAAACCCATGGCACATTAATTGTGACATGAGACAAGCTAGGACTGCTTACCTTTCATAATGTGGTTCCTATTTTCTCCTTTGTTGCATTATCATGCCCAAAAAGGTTCCAACTGGCACCAATGAATTAATGTCGACCTTATGATATTTAATTAAACTCGAGGCTGAGCATGCAGCTCAACTGCATTTACTTTTCAACTAAGTTTATACGGCTGTTTCTGGTGTTGAATTTTGATAGAATTCAACAACAGCATTACAAATATCATGTCGCCCTAACTTATGAACTATTTCTACAAATTGCCTAATGGATGGAACATCACTCCATGTGGATAAAATATCAATGATTGTTTTTGTTGGGTACCCCCCTTGTTCAACATTTTCCAGCTTTGAACGCAAAATTCCAATCTTGCGACCAACAGCCCACCAGTTCTTTGCCTTGGGTTTGTTTGCATCTAATTTTTCTGTGAGAATTTCTTCCACATCATATGGTATCTCATCAATTCTAACTTCTGAGGACAAAAACAAAAATAGACAGTCAAAGACTGCATGTGGCTACTGGTATAGCACAACGTTTGTAGCATTGAAATTAAAAATTGTGTGCAATCCTGGAATGATTGTGAGAAGCTTGTTGTCTCCTGCTGCCTTCCCTAGTTTAAAGGCAAGAATTGAAGTGCTAGTGGCTATAAGCCAGAAATTACCAAAATAAGAATTCAACTGTGTATTGTGTGTGAAAGTCGAACTTCTAAGATACTCCCAAATAAACAATAAGTAGCACCAGGAAACATTGGGTCAAAATTGGGTCAAGATCGGAATTCCATTGTTACACTCACTCACTCATTGTGACAAAATATGTGGCTTTGCCTCCTTTAGGAGGCAGTATCCATAAAAACAATCAGCTCTTAAATGTATTCCAAAGTAAAGGCATGCTATAGATTTTTAAAACCATTTTCAAGAGAAGAGGTTTAATGATAATCCAAATACATGCACATATAATTTATGTGATGCAGATTTCAAGACATGTATGTATTCACAATAAAACACAAATTTTAAGTAACAATAACACAAGATACAGAGTATTTAATTCCTGTCAGAGGATGAACCTTATTCACACTAGAAGTGAATTTTCTGATAGCTATTTGAACACTGCGGACAGCAGCATTCCTATGTCTCTAGATACAGTCAAACCTCCCTTTGCGACCACACCCTCTCATAAGTGACCCCTTTTTTGGAGAAACCAAGCGTTTCTAAATCAAATCAGTATAAACAGAATCTCTTGTAAGACTTGTAGCACAATCATAGTGCCCATTTGTGTAACATAAGGCATTTTCATGAAAATGTGGCAAGTGTGCGAAAAATGTTATTGTTTGCTAGATAAAAGCTAGTTATCATCATAAAAGCATTTTTAGTGAGTTTTGCGATGTTTGTAAGATTTTTAAAGCGAAGTTATTAAATACCCACAATCCTCTGTGGGCATGGTATTTGACTCTCTCACTTGATTTCACTGGCTATAATGACTAAAATGCAAGATATAAATATATTTCAACACTATCTGGATTTACAAAGAGGCAATGATTTCTTCATTGACATCCATAGGGACTTTGTAAATGTTATTTCTTTTTCTCTTTAGTTCTCCACACACGTCTCATAGTTCCAGCAAGAAATGCACTTTTTTTTCCATCACGATTTCATTCGTAATACTTTTTGTCAGCTTCTTTCTTTTTCTCTGTCTTTTTCTCTCTCCACTTTTTCATCTTTTCAACACTTGAAGAGCTCTCCTTATTGCCATTCATCTTTGAAAAACTCCTTTGTTTCCACTCTGTTCAAGATTGTGAAATCGGGTGGATAGCAAGAACTGAAGTAGGCATAGCAATCCAGCACGTGTTTTAGACCCTGAAATTGTCCACAAAACACCCCACACATTCAGAGGAGAGGTTACAAAGGAACTTTTCGATGTTTACTCCTCGATTTGAATGGGAAATTAGGGGTTTGAGAGCTTCGTCTTGTGCAGTTTTCTGTGCAGTTTTCTGTGCAGAGTGCATTTAAAATTTGATCGTTACACTTAGATAAACACCAGGTGAGAGTGAATATAGGTTTCTGATTTGGTTTATTTCGTATATCTTCGTTTGTATTGTACTTAAGGCTTTGAAACTTTGGAGATTTGTATTCGATTACAGGAACTGTGTTGTGGAGATGTCTAGGCAGCCAAGGTGACCTGGAAGCTGAGATACGCACTTTTAACTGGGTAAGTAGTATTTAATTTTTGTTGATACTTATTGACGACAACATCGTTTCCGAATTGGGAAATCACTAATTTCGTCCTTGCTGTTGCTTATTTTGAAGATTTAGCTTTACAAGAGAATGAATAGGTCTATGAACCTTATTCACACAAATCAACTTCATTTCTAGGTCAGCGGTCAAGTTGCCAGACCCGCACTTGTATCATGCGAAGCTCTGTTGGATCTACAGCCTTACACAAGCAGACAACACCAACGAGAATTCAAGTTTTTATTCATGCTGTTTTAAAAACGGACATTGAACGCTGTCACTTTGCACACAGTGTACTTTGGTCCTACTCAATAAATGGATGTAATGGAAGTTTCAAATTGTTGTGGTTTTAAGCACAAAATTTAGCCTTCTTCCTATATTTATGCAAATGAGATGTTACGCATTACACCGTTAAATAAGGGTATATTTGCAGTAATCTTCAATATTTTTCCACTCTTAAATTATTTCAAATGAGAATATAGTGATGTTTTATTGAACTACAATCATTGTAGCCCAAAAAGGGCTAGTTTTGAAACAATCCATCATTTGCTGACCAAGATTTCGATATAGTTATTTGAACAGCCCCGAATGGGCACCATGATTGTGCTACAAGTCGTAAGTGACCACCTTTCATAGGTAACCACTTTTAGAAATGCTGGTTTACAATTTTCAATTCTTCTTAATATAACCTTCTGTAGTTAACCATTTAAAAGACATTCAGGTTTATCTCTTTACACTAGAAACTGAAAACGTTTTCAAGAGATGTCATTAAAGTGGAGTGTTTCCTAAAAGAGCTTTACTGCATGAATTTTTTCTCATGTTAAGTTCCTGGAAAAATTTCAAAAAGAACCACTGAAAGTAACAAACAAGCAAAGTTTCTTTTGCATGAAGTTCCAAACACTGTACTAAATAATTTGGGATACATGTACAAAACAATCACCATACATCCTAACCATTTTTTTTTTCTTGAATAAGCTGCTGGAAGTTAAAACTATAGGTTTCTAGAACCACTAGCAAAAGGGTCCTATCACCCAATATGTGGACCCCTGCGGTCTCACCTCTGGTCATCAAATGGGTACATGAACAATTTTTCACACTAACCTGGGATGAGACTCAGTTTTTCCTGGCAGGGCATGCATTGCTGAGTCAATTGCATTACCTCCTCATAACATCCCGAACCTAAAAGTGCATCACAAATGAAAGATAACAGAACACTTTAATAAGCATTCAGTGAACTTCAATGAAGGCAATGTACTTTGTGCAGCAAAAGTAAAAATGTCCCACAAAGGAATGTGTAAACTTAGGGTGTGGAGGAAAGGGAGGGGAGGGGGGAGATGTTGGTCACCTATTTGATACACAAACCATGCACTACAGTGTAAATGTTTTCTTCAAACTCAAATGTACATTATGTGTTGTGCCTTCTACATAAAGTCATGAAAAGCTATATATACGTTCCTATCAATACTATGAGCACTCAAACAACAAACATATGAAATACATATATATGAACTGCGGTTATGAAACGTATATGTGCACGATCCTTCGCAGTAAAGCACTATTTAAGCAATAGTGAAAATCAGACCTGAAAAAAATTCAGGCCTGTACGGGATTCGAAACACTGACCTCTGCGATACTAGTGCAGCGCTCTACCAATTGAGCTAACAAGCCAACTGGGAGCAGGCCATCAAATTAATTTGATGCTCCCAGTTGGCTTGTTAGCTCAATTGGTAGAGCGCTGCACTAGTATCGCAGAGGTCAGTGGTTCGAATCCCGTACAGGCCTGAATTTTTTTCAGGTCTGATTTTCACTATTGCTTAAATAGTGCTTTACTGCGAAGGATCGTGCACATATACGTTTCATAACCGCAGTTCATATATATGTATTTCATATGTTTGTTGTTTGATTTATCATCTACGGGTTTATGTCGAATTAATTTGATGGCCTGCTCCCAGTTGGCTTGTTAGCTCAATTGGTAGAGCGCTGCACTAGTATCGCAGAGGTCAGTGGTTCGAATCCTGTACAGGCCTGAATTTTTTTCAGGTCTGATTTTCACTATTGCTTAAATAGTGCTTTACTGCGAAGGATCGTGCACATATACTATGAGCACTATAGCTCCAATTAAGTTAACTATGTACATAGCTTTTGTAAATTGTACTAGATACATGTACACACAATACTAGACAAAAAAAAAGTCTTGCAGAAGGATGAATAAAATTGATACAGCTAGCTTTGATTCAACTTAACGGTAACCTTTCAGAGTGATCAAACTGTACATTGTAACTTGCCCTTAAAAAAATTCCTAAATTACAAAATGTAACAAACACTTAAGGAGAAAGGTGTATCAGTGAGATGCTCTTCTAGCAACAACAACCCACAAAAAAGCAACTCACCGGGAAAATGCATAGTTATTGTAGCGGTTAAAGAGGAAAGTTCATCATTAAATGTTAAGGTTAACTGAAGCTACACAATTTAATGCAAAATACCTGCACAAGTTGATGAGTCAGAGATGCAGAATGTAGGACATGTTCTTCTCCAATAAAAAAAATATCCCAAAATAAGAAGAAGCACAACTACCAGAGAACAAGAAAGTCCAATGATAAAAGACATTTCTACAACACAGGGCTTGTGCAGTGAAGAGCTGTTGTTGTGCAAGTTTGATGACATATTCCATGTTGGGAAGTCTCCAATCGCAACACGCAAATTGTTTGGTACAGAACAGTTGCATGTACATCTGTCAGGTGAAGTACTTGGCAGTTCATCACACCTTCTATTTGACAACCTGCAGTGCTTCTCTCCTTTTCCTCCTATAACTATGCCTTTTCTCATAGTAATGCACTGTGGTTCAATGTTCTCGTCATCACCTTCACAGCATTCAACACATGGATAACATTCCTTTTCTGTGCTGTTGAAGTAGTATTTATCAGAAATGCACTTGTTTGCACACTCTCTGTCCTTCACAAATGTGCATGGATAAAGTTCTTGTTTTTTGCCACAAGAAGTACATTTGCGACACTTATAAATTGTCTGGTTGTTCGAAAAGAAACCATTTTTACAGCTTCTACAGCTGATATCAGTCCCAAAGGGGTGTGATGAGCCTGGCTCCACAGTTGCCTCTTGTCCATTATGGCATTCAGGAGGGGGCCAACATTTAAACTTAGCAGGATTTTGCTTGTTGTACAGCTCAATGTAAGCTTTCCTTTGACATCTATTGCTGCCATAGCCCTGCTCCACCAAGACAGTCTGCAACAAAGGATAGTCACAAATTTTTTGAAAAAAGTTCATCACTTCATTCATTCACTTTGTCGGAGCACAGGTTAGTTCTTGTGGAGGGTGTAAACCAAGCTTAAATTGTAATTTGCTCTAATTGGTTGGCATTTTTTGTGATATATGTCAGCTTTCACATTATAATTACATTTTTAAACAACAATGATAAAATCATTGACTTCTGTTGCTCAAGACAATACCTCTGCTCTTCTTGTAGTTACCCTTTAAATTATATAACTGAGATGTTTGACTACAACAACCAATCCCTGACTTTGAGAACTAAAGAAGAAAATCCTAGGCTATAAGTCTAAAAATATCTACTGAATAAAAAATGAAATTTCTTGATTTATGACCATGATTGATGGAATCTCAAATTTGAAGAACAGGTTTGCAATACCCACAATTTTTCAACATGCCATTTAGTGCGCCCACAGGTGCACTACAAAAAAAATAGTCCTCTACTCTTTAAATCCTAAGAGTGAGTCCAAAATTTAATTTCTCCTTATAGTAATAATGCCAAATCAATCATTAAAGCCTGGTTCACATATAATCGCAGATGATCGCTGAAACCACTCAACCGAAGATTGCGAATAGTATGTTCACATATGATCGCAGCCGACCACAGCGATCTGTGACAACCGAGTCCATGGTTTACCATTCAGCGGCAATACAATGTAACTCCAGTCAACCAACATAAACGCAAAGGACGCTGAACTTTTAAGAGGACTGGTGTTAACGTCCTGCTTCTGTTGTCTTTACTAAAACAGAAACGTTGCTTCTTGGTGCAGGAAGTCTTAAGAAAGAGAGAATTCTTTGCTAAAGCGATTAAACAAACAATCGTATTTTTTAATTCCTTCCATAAACTGTTCCGTGTCAATTTCACCTTCCATCTTGTCAAAACACATGTGTGTAAAAGTTGCTAAAAAACTGGTTGTCATGGTATCATTCCACTTGCATAGCATTACTGGACACATTCCAATCGCATGATCACAGAACTTTGTTCATATATGATCGCACTCGATCGCAGACGACTGCACGAATAGAACATGGTTCTATTCCTGCGATCGCAATCCCAAATGATCGCACACGATCACACAGCTGTTCACATTATAATCGCAGACAATCACTGGTGATCGAGTGCGATCGCCTGTGATCATATGTGAACCAGGCTTAAGAGCATAAGAACAAAGTGAGTGATTACCAACATGAGAATCTTTGATTTAAAAAAAAAAAATATCCTTGTCAGTGCCAAAGGAAACGTAAAGAGAAGAGTATGGACTGAATATGGACACTGATGTTAAGCTGTAAAAGATTCATATAAATCATAACATACATGTACATGTATGTATCTCTTACAGGGGTGACTACTTTGAAAGTAGGAAAACTTCATGAGTTCTAGTTTTGACCATCTGAACAAGTGACGATTAATAACTAGCTTACTATAGTTAATTCACTATAATTTCAGTATTGTCATTAGCCAATTCTAATATATTAAATAACCATTCCCCTATAGTTAATTAAAACTCCTTGAATTGTGATGGGAGGAAATTTAGGTTTAGGAGTTAGAGTGATCAGTAAATATTCAAGTTTAGGTTCATCTACTGTCATACAGCTTGCAAAACAAATTCCATTCACTCCAGACGAGTTAGGCCATTCACCTGTCCATCAACTGAAATCACGTATTCCCACGATATCTACATAAAGTGGGTTAAAATTTAAGGTTTTTGGTCGCCAAGTTCTATGCCAAACTGTTGCTGTAAATGTGCAAACGACGATAACAAAATAGGACAGATTTGTGAATGAAGAAGTCTAAGAAATGAAGTAACCGCGTGCACGATTTCCACATCAAAATATCAACTTTTGAAGTCCATTGAAGCTAGCTGTGTTTACTACCATTCCCACTTACGACTTATAAAAATACCAAACGATAATTTTAAACTGTATAGATCCTTGCTATAGTACTCTTAAAAAATAATATGAAAAAGAGCGTTTAACTCACCAAAAAGATCACAAATACAGCAAACATTTTTTTGACAAATCGGCCGAAGTCTTCCATCCTCTAAGAGATGAATTTCCCCGTGTTTCCTCTGGTAAACAGGTGCCAAATATCTTTTTAGAATATCAGGACTCGAATGATGCGTCGTTGAAACCACGGCTAATTTTCAAAACTGCTGAGAGAAACCTCCCATCCGAGAGAGCGAAGAAGCGAACTATCAGCTGACTCAGCAAACATTTCTTTTCAGAACCAATCGTTCCCAGGTCTTCGTCAGTCAGGTTTCTCCAAAATGGCGGCTGCTTTCAAGAATATTGAGAAACCGGTCAGTGTAAAATAAGGACTGCGGACTGCAGACCGGGGGTAAAAGGCAGACCGGGGTAAAAGGCAGACTGAGGGTAAAATGAAGTCTGCGGACTGAAGACCAGGGGTAAAATGCAGTCTGCAGACTGCAGACTACAGACTGCTGACCAGGGGTAAAATGCACACTGAGGATAATAACAAAAAGCAAGACTTGGGAGTGTTCCTACGCGTACCCGTAATTTTTTTTTCTTTTTTCAAAATCCCGAAAACTCAAACCAAAAGGCGTTTATTCACCTTAGTCAAACATATTATCAACGTTGAGTTCTTGAACTGCCCATTTTGATGAACCAAGTTTTCCAAAAGCGCCCAAACTGATCGTAATGCTAGGCATCTTACCATTGTTTACATGTCGGCCATTTTGAATTGTGCTTTCGCGAGTAGGTCTGGGACTGAGTAACTCTTTCAGCGTTCAAATTCTTCACATGGTCTTGGAATTGTTTGGAAGACAAGGCAAGCAAAACACGACAGCACAACAACAAGGCAAGGTAAACTTGTAGGTATCGAGCATAGTTTGTGAAAGACATTCAATCTTTGTAATTTGGAAAAATCAACAAAGTTGAAATGGTAAATTGGCCACCGTAACGATTACAAAAGCTGACGTTTCTAGCGTTAGCCCTTCGTCGGAGCGAATAGAGGAATTGTGGGTTGCGTATGCTTTCAAAGGCAGAAAATGGAGCTACGTTATTGGTGGGAACATAGCAACGAGAAAAACATGAATAAATTAGTGGAATGAAAAGCGTTCGTTGATCCTTGTGGGATTTAGACTGCCGGTTTGAAAGATGAGCTTTTGTTCAAGATTTTTACGGCTTTCCGTGCCACCTAAGTACAAGGAAAGACCGCAGATTGCCATATGTTGCTTAGAATGATTAGGTAAATTAAAATGTCTAGCGACTGGTTTCGATTTGTCCTTGTCATTCCTTTCCACGTCTCGAAGGTGTTCTCGGAATCGGTCACCTAGTCTTCTGCCTGTTTCGCCGATGTATATCTTTTTGCAATAAGTGCAAGTTATGCAATAGATTACATTGGCGGAGGTGCACGTGAAGTGATCGGTGATCTTAATGGATCGTTTAGGTCCCGATATTTTATCAGTGTTGTGAATGAAAGGACACGTTTTGCATCGTGCACGAGCGCATTTAAAAGTGCCTGGTTGGTCATTAGTCTGAAAAGAACTTCTGACCAAAAAATTGCCTATGTTTTTGTCGCGTTTGAATGAAATGAGCGGAGGCTGCGAAAAGATAGTGCTTGTCTCTGGATCGTTTTGAAGTAATTTAAAGTTTTTAAGAATGATGGATTTAACTGAGTGGTTGTGAGGGTGAAACGTGAGAGTGAATGGAATGCGGTCGGAATCTTCCTTATGCGACGTTTGTAGTGCTGAATGTCGATCAATAAGTTGNTAAATATATTCAAGAAGGAAGTAATCTTATCAGGAGTTCCACAGGGATCGGTGTTAGGACCCTTACTTTTCCTCATTCTAATAGCTCTAATCGATTTAAATTTTACTTATTCGCAGATGATACTAATCTCCTATATATAAGCTGATAAAAATCTTAAGTTACTCGAAACCATAGTTAATGCTGAAGTCTGTAACATCTACGATTTGTTAATCGCTAACAAGTTATCACTGAATATAAAACATCTAACTTTGTTATTTTTCGGCCTAGACAGAAAAAACTGAATCCCCAAATAAATTTGAGAATCTTTGACCATCCTACTAACAGTTATATTTCTCTAGAATGTAAGGAATTTATTAAATACTGATGAAACTCTTTCATGGGGTCACCATATTGCTCCTATTGCATCCAAAATAAGTAAATCAATCGGCGTTATCTCTAGATTAAGACACTTTGTATCCCTTAGTACTCTAAACCACATTTACAGGTCACTTATCCAACCCTATTTGTTGTATGGTATAGTCGCGTGGGGTCAAGCTGATCCTTCAAAAACGAGCCCTTCGCTTAATGTACTTTGGTGACTAAAGATCTCATGCAATCCCGTTTTTTGTTTCTTCTCGTTTTCTTCCTTTGGATATGCTTTACTTTAAATCAGTTGCCATCATGATGCATGACATATCCAATAATTTTTCACCTTCTAACATATCTAACTTATTTACTTATAAAGCTAATATTCATCCCCATAAGACAAGATCATCTTCAAGAGGCGACTATTTTATTGAAAGTTCAAGATTAGATATACAAAAAAAAAACATTTTCAAGAAATGGTGTTAGAATCTGGAATAGCTTGTCTTGTGAAGTGCGCCAGCTATCAAAATATCAGGTGTTGACTATCCTGCCAAGTTATAACGCTATTATGGGAGCAATGCAACAATTTCAGGACTGCAATCCGCTTTTGTGGTACTGCAATATGGACGGTAAGATGATGTTATATTAAATAAGCTGCAGATTGGATGTAAAATGCGAAACAATCGAGTTTGCGTGTGAATGTGTACATTTTCGAAAAACTGACGGCATCGTCAAATCAGCTCATTTTATCCAACTTTAAAATTTGATTAAATCGCACTTAATCATTTCCCCAAAAAATCCGTTGGAGATCGAAAAGAACCACCCTTCACCTTCCAAAAGCCAGATTTTCCGTCGATTATTTTGTATAGCACATAGTTAAATAACAGGTTACTTTTGACCTATTTTTAATCTTGTTAGAAGAAGGTTGGATAAATTCAATTACGTTGTGTAAATAAATGATCAAGAATTGCTCAAATTGCTGTCAAATTATGTATTGATGTTGTTTTTCAAGATCTGATAGTTTTTATCGTTTCAACTATTTTCAATTCTTGGCGCGACGCTCCGAGATTCGTCTGAAATCTTGAGCTTCAAAAGTGGCATTTAGATGAAACTCAGCTTTTGTTGATTTTCTCGAAAATAAATCGATATTCAGCCAAACGAAGTATGCAGTGCTTTGTTTCGCCATAAGGCCTACCTAACTTGAGAATATGAGCCCAATCGATTTTTCGGCTGTTGCCACCATATTTTGAAAATGTTCGATTTTTGGCCACATTTCCTCTTAAGCTGAAAATTCGCTGCAAAATCTTCATGAATAATCTCGCCAGCAGGAAGACAATCTTTAAGGTGTCTTAGTTCCTGAAACTGTCGGCAGACATTATAAACATGCCTTCCAAATGGAGCAAGCTGCGCTTTCAGGTCTTTTGCTCCTACCACATCGACTACTAGTAGCTTCTTCACTCTGCCATCAGCTGCAGTGCGCCACTGGCAGTATGAGTCAGGTAGCTCGTTATCTGTATCGAAAAGCTCATCTACAACTTGATCAGCACCACAGTCTGAGCACTCTCTGTCCATACACTTACTTTCCTCTTGGCTACAAACTGTAGCATTTAGTAGATGTTCTGCTGTTTTGTGGTGCGAAGATACCAGGCGAGTGGAGGTAAGAGTATGTAGAAGGAGATCTATGTTTTCGTGATATTTGCACATGCAAACTTCATAATCACGAAGAGTCATAGGCAGCACTTGTGGAGGCCTAAAAGACCCAAACTTGGAAAATCCGACCTTCAACTTCGAACCCTCCTTAAATAGAGCATGCGCTTCCCGCAGATTTACTACTGGCAATCGCTTTTCTCTTGCTCCCTTGCCGCTCTCAATCTTCACAGACACTTTATCTTTTTTGCCAGGAAGAATTCTGCTTATATATGTCGTCTCTTAGATAGAACTCCTCAACTTGTCTTATTTCCTCTGAAAGAGAATCTGATCTCTTAACTCGTTCTCCTTCGACCTTGCGCCGCTTTGCATTGGTGTCACAAGCTGAAACTATTGCCTTGCGTTCCTGAGGTGAGAGTTGATGTACCAGTACGTATCCCTGACACTTCAGGAACGTTTTCGGGGTTTTGGGAAGGCCCTTATGTACCTTTCTGACTGCCTTTCCTAGGCTTTGCGATGTTAGGAACTGCCTTTTCACGATGTCTAGTTCTTGTCGTTCTTCACTCGTCTGCGCCTTCTTCGCCTTCTGCCTGGCCCTATATGATCTTTTCCAGTTCCTTTGCTTTACTATCTGCCTTGCCATCTTCGCATCTGGCAAACTCTCTTTGTTTCTCTTGTAATCTCTCGCTTTCCTCTTTCTATCTTTCTCTCTGTACTGTGCTAGCTTCTTCTCGTCGTTTTTCAACCTCTCCCGGTATTTCCTACTTCTCTCGGTACTAGTTAACTTGGCTACAAACAAAATCAAAATAGCTGACTGGACACAGTGTCCAAGATAGCCGACTGGATATGGTGCACGAACAATGCAACAGTTTATTATTCATGCCCAATGCTATCTGTTAGTCCGGGGGGGGAGGGGGGGCAAGCTGGCATCCAAAACAAGTCTTGCTTTCGTAGCCGTCTTCGCAACGAAAATGTCTTCTCCGCAACAAAAATAAAACATTAAAATTTCGTCGAAATTTTATGTATTTTGAAGAATGTTTAACAGAGAAAGGTTACACTGACTATTAATTAGAACATTTGGAAAATTTAACCATTTTAGCCCGTTTTCCTTTCTGCAATTAAGGGTCGCCGGTTAAACAGGATTATGCTGAAGATTACTCGACAAAAGTGTCATCCCTTCTTCAACCATCAATGCAAAGACCGCCAACTGTTGCCGCCTAGCTTGAGGATTAGGCCTCCAGTCCAATGTCCCAAAGGCTACAAATTGGCAAAGAATACTGGCTTTCAATTTCTGAAACTGAGAATTGAACAATCGCACAAGCAAATTCGTTAGCTCAACTAAGAAAAAGACAAGCAAACGGAATTCTTGCGCGCCATCATGGAACCTGACGATCTGAAACGGACCGAAAGATTATTCAAAGATTTACAACAAGTAGAAAATTTGAGAATGAAGACAGC